ATATATATAAATATATATATATATACTTGAATGCGAGTGTTATTTTTAGACCCTGTTTAAAGAACGAAGTTTGGTTTGCTCCGATAGCCTTGCGGGGAGCATGTCGATACAGCTCGGTTGCGTTTCAGGTGTCCTGAATTTTAGACATTTTCCATATATATTTTTATATATATATATATATAAATTTTTAAAAATAAATTTTTTAAAATCTTTAATTTCTATACCATTTTAAATAACTAAGCTTATCATTATGTTATTTTTATTTTTATTTTTATTTATATTCTTTTATATATAATAATTTACGTTTTTAAAAAAGAAACTAAAATTAACTTTTTTAAATAAAATCATATTTTATTTATATTAAAAATAAAATAAAAGTACTTTAAAAACAAAAAAATAATGTAATATTAATTTTTATTATTTATTTATATATTTTTATGTTTTTTAAATAAATACAAGCTTGTGTTTGTAGATCAAATTGTAGAAGCTGTGACACAAGTTGTATACATTGTTATGAATGTTATTAAGGATATTATCCTACGGTTGGAAGTTGTTATCCTTGTTCTTATTAGCATTGTGATTCATGTGATTCCTTTTCAGGAACATGTTCAAGCTGTCTTGATGGATATTATTGGTATAAAAATTTTTGCTATAAAAATGAAGACTAATAATAATCAGAATCAAAACCAGAATCTGATTCAGGATCGAAAGCAGGATAAGTTTCAACTGTTTGGATTATAATAGGAATAACTATTGCATTAATTATAATAGTATTAATAGTTTTTGCTATATTTAAATACTTGAAAAGAAAAGAAAATATATAAAAAGAATATATTTTAAATAATAATAATAAAGTTTGAAAAATAAAATATTTAATTATATAAACAAATTTTATATAATAATATTTGATAGTTTTTAAAAAATATATAAAATCAAAATTATTATATATAAATATATATAAATTTAATAATTTATAATTATAAATAATTTTATTTATTTATATATATTTATTTATATATTCATATTATAATTTATATTTTAATTTTAAATTATATAAATAATAATATATTATTTATATTTTTTAATATATTTTTTTTTATAAATTATCAAAATTTTTTTTTTTTTTTTTTTTTCTAATTTTACTTTTTTATTTATAATAATATATTTAATTAACTTTATTTATTAATGTTAAAAGTATAATTTTTTATATTAAGTTGTTATTATATATATTTAACTACTTTTTATCATAAAATATTTTCATATATAACTATTTAAAATTTCATATAAATACATAAATTATATTTATAATAAATTGAAAAAAAAAAAATTCTAGAAATAATATAATTAATTTAAAAAATATTTAAATATATAAAATATATTTATAATTAATTAATATTTTATAAAATATATATTTATTTTAAACATATTGTAATTAAAAAAATATATCAATATTTATACTTTATAATTATTTATATAATATTTTAATTTATAATCCACTTATAATTAATAATATAACCTTAAAGAAACTTAAAATAAATCAAACACCTCACCTAACCAAAAATAAATATATTAAAATTTATAATTAAAAATTAATATTGTAATAAAAAAAAAAAAAAATGGGAAATAATTGTTCCTATTGTGAAAATTTCACAAACGAATCAAAATTAGAATTTTAATCAGCAAACCAAAACTATATAGATTTTTATAAAAATACTCAAAATAATTAAAACATAAGCAAAAGCCCTCAAGATTAATCCCAATAAAGTTACTAAAAATACGATAATAACTCAGAAAATCAAAAAAGTATTCTAAAGCATTATTATTTTTCAAAAGAAGACGCCGAAGAAATAATCCATAAAATCCCCTACTATTCTGCTTTTCGTTAAAAATACCCTCCTTATAAATTTAAATCAGGTGTGATATACGAAGGCTAATGGCTTTACGGAAAAAGAGACGGATACGGTGTCTAAATATGGCCCGATGGTGCTAAATATGAAGGTGAATGGGTTAAAAACAAGGCAAATGGCAAAGGAAAATTCAGGCATGTGGACGGTGATATATTCGAAGGTGAATGGAAAGAAGATTAAGCAAACGGTTTTGGTATATATTTACACATAAACGGTGCAAAATATGAAGGATAATGGAAAAGCGATCTCCAATATGGATATGGAGTAGAATCTTGGATAGATGGTTCCAAATATGAAGGATTTTATATAGAAGGTAAAAAGTGTGGTTAGGGTTAATATACTTGGCCTGATTAATCTAAATATAAAGGTGATTGGAAAGATAATAAAATAAATGGATATGGTATATATTTTGTAAAAAAAAAATATAAAATTATATATATATTTATAAAAATTTTATTATAATTAATAATTATTTTTAAATTAATTTATTTTAATATATAAAATAAATGTTTAAAAAATTAATTAAAAGGCATTTATACATGGCTAGATGGAAGAAAATATGAAGTAATATAAAATATATTAATATGTATTTTTTTATGTTAAAGGGAGAATGGATAGAAAATAAAATGCATGGTAAAGGTGTATATACATGGAAAGATGGAAGAAAGTACGAAGGCTAATATATGTATGATAAAAAACATGGATATGGCGTTTATTAATGGGCAGATGGAAGAAGATATGAAGGAATGTGGGAAAATGGAAAATAACATGGGAAAGGATACTATATTTAACAGAATGGGGAAGTTAAATGTGGCATTTGGTAAAAAGGAAACAGAATCGAATGGTTGTAATAAAATGATTTAGAACAAAACATGAATTAAGAAATGTAATAAATATTAAAAATAATATGTAAAAATTAATTTGTTAAATAAAAGTAAAGAAAGTTAATATACAATTAATAACAAAAGTAATATTAGTAAAAATAATAATTTATAGTATTAAAATAATTAATAAGAAAAAAATTATTATAGTGAAATATATTAATATAATAATAATAATAATAATAATAATAATAATAATAATAATAATAATAATAATAATAATAATAATAATAATAATAATAATATTAATGAGAACATTTAAAAAATTAGTTTTGATTAATAATAGATTAGTTAGTAAAATGAATATGCAAAAAGTTATGATTAATTATAAATTGGACTTATTTAATAAAAAAAAAACATATTTTGTAAATGATTTATCTATAAAATAAATTTAATAATATTATCTTTTATATTATTTATGTTGAAAAACTAAAAAAAAATCAAAATATAAAATATTACATAAATAAAAGTAATTATATACATTATATTTTAAATTAAAATTATTTATTTAATATTATATTAAGATATATTTTTATTATTATTAATATATTTTTTTTAATTTTAATTCTATTATTAATTATATTTATTTTATATGTTATATATTAATTTTAAATTTTAATATTTTTATGTTTATGTAAAATTTATAAAGAATTTACAATATTTATAATTTTTTATTAATATTATTAATTATTATTATTATTAATATTATTATCTTTATTTTAATTAATATTTTTTTATATTTTATACAAAAATCAAAAATCTAAAATTATTTTATTTAATATTTTTATTGTTTTTTTCTTAAATCACATATTCACTTTATCAACTATTATACAATATTTTTCAAATATATAAATAAATAATGTATTAATATCATTTTTATCAAAATAAAATATAAATCTATTTAATTATTTTTATTTATATTATAATTATTATATTTTCATTTATATCTATATTAAATTATTTTTATTTATATCAAAATATTTTTAATATTTGAATCAATTTTGTTCAATAACACTAATTTTTTAAATAAATTTTATTTAATATATACTTGAATATAATTATATTTTTATTATTATTTCCATTTTTAAATTATTATTACATTCATAGATATTTTAATTAAAATAATATATTATATCTTGTTCTTTTTTTCTTTTTATTTAATAATAATATTTAAAGATTTTAAATAATAATAAATTACTATTTTTTATTAAATTTATATCTATTAATTAAGTAATTTAAATAAAAATATATATTTTCTACTATAATCTATATAGTAATTTATATTATAATTTTTTATATAAACGATTATAAGTACACATATTAATTTTTTTAAAAAAATAATATTATAAATATCTTATAATTTTACCATTTTATATTAAAATGTAATAGTAATTTATTTATCTTTTATATGAATTTATCAATATATTTTTTATCAATTAAATAAATAAAAATTATTAACTATTAAAAATTTAAAGCTTTGTTTATTTATTTTTTTATATTTATTTATAAACTAAATAATTATTATAATAAATATTAAAAAAAAAATATTAGTGTTAATTTCTAGGTAGTAATTTTCAATATAAACTCCAAATTATTAGATATAATATAAATTTTAGAACATTTAATACATATAATTATATTTCTATTAATTTTATTATTTATTTTTTATATTTATAATTAACATAGCAACTATGTTTTAATTAAAAATAAGTAAAATGAGCTAAAAATAATAATTATATAATATATTTGGCGAAATCTTTAATAATTTCCTATTCTATAATCGAGATATCCCAAACTGAGTTTGTTTTTTCTCAATAATTAGAATAAAATAACTCAGGTTTGTAATTTTTCACTATATTTTAACAAAATTTAACTATAAATATGTTTTTAAAAGAAAACTTTTAATTTTAAAACACTTCAATAAATAATTCCAATATTTCCTTTTTTTATTAAACATAATATATTTTCATCTTCTGTAAATTATATACTAATAAAATATAAAAAATTTTCATTTCTATAGTATAAATATAAAAGAATGTATTATATTTAAAAATTACTCTTGTGTAGGAATTTTTTTTTATCATATATCCAAGTAATTAATTTTCTATCTAAATTGAACTCTATTTGAAATTTTAATTTATCTATAATTTATTTTTAAATATTAGTTATAAAGAAAAATTTTCTATTTAGAAGTTTTTAAATATTGATATACATTTTTATTTATATTTACTTTATATATAATTGTTTATAAAATAATTAAAGTATATCAGGGTTTAAATAGGATTAATATTTGATATAATTATTATTTAAAAATAAATAAAAGTTAATAAAATATTTTTTAATAATTAAATTTTAATCAATATAAATATATATATATATTAAATAAATTATTTAATTATATGATTCTAAATATTATATAAAAATAAATATAAATAAAAATATATTTATATATATATTAATTTTATATATTTATATATATTTATATATTTTTTATATTTATTTATAATTTATTTATTATATCAAGAACTAATTTTCTATTTTATCTTGAAAAAAAAAATTACACAATTAATATAGTTTCCATAAATAAATATGACTTTTGTTTTATTTTTTTAATAATTATTTAATTAAATTTACTATATTAAATAGAAAATATTTTTAATTATGAAAGAATATAAATATTAGAAATACTAATATAATAGAAAATTATAATAAAAAAGATAATATATATATATTTTATTTTATATATATATATTTAAATTGAAATTTAATTTAATATATATGTTGATAAAAATCATAACATAAAAAGAGCCCATACAAAAACTCCCAAAAACGTTATTAAAATACCTCCGAAATTTTTCAAATCACCTTCTCCTTTTATTGTTTTCGGATTAATCTCAAGTATAGTTTCGAATACTTATCTTATCTACTTTTATTCACTTAAAGACCTTAAATTTCCTAGATTAATTTTCATGTTATATTAAATCAAGCTATTTATTCCTGTATGAATTATTTAAGTTTCTAGAATAACCTTCCCTTTATAATCATTAAAAATCACTTTAGTCTATCCTGTATAATCCGAAACGATTTTATCCCCTTTAAAAATCACACTTTCAATCTCAATAGATCTCCCAAAGCTTTTATTTTTAATCTACAACTCTACAAAAATACTATCTCCTATTTTTTTTTTATATTTCCTTAAGAACCCTCAAAATAAGCCAAGCAACTAGAATCTACACACACTTTTCCTTCCAAAATCAAATCAACTACTAATTTACATTCTTCCCCGAATTCATTAAGACACTCTTAACTACTCATTTTTTCGGTACCGTCTACAATTAAATTTGTAATCTGTTAATTTTATACATAAATATAAAGAGAAAATTTATGAGAGCCAAGAGTATTAGCTTTAGACCCAAAAACGAGTACTATATTTAATTAATCAAAAATAAGTCCATCATGTTCTTGACTTGAAACAAAGGAAAATTAAGAAGCTTCATTTAGTTTCATTTTTATTTAAATTTATTTTAAAACAGGGTTATATGTTAAGTTTTAACTTTCGAATTAAATTAATTTTTATAAAGGATTTTCGAAATAAGTATAAAACATTAATTGTGAAAAACATTCATCTTAAATAGTATTTTATACTAATGTTTATATTTAAATTTTTAAATAAACATAAGTTATATTATCATCTTTTATTTCAGTTTTCATTATTTTTGTGAATTTTAAATAATTATGGTATTTCTCGATTTATTATTCACATGTTAGATTATCTAAAATCAAGCTTTCGGATGTTATATCTAGATTTTATATTAAATTACTTTAGCCTTAAATAATTTTAGGAATACATTCATTAATTGTTAATAAAGCATCTATTTTTATTAAAAAAATTAAATAAATATTAATATATAATTTTTTTTTATTTTATTAACTATCAAAGCAACTTTCACATTAATTAAAAGAAACTCCTTTACAAGTTTAACATGATTAATGGCAAAGAATTTAATGAATAGTTAAATTCCTAATTCCCCATTAGCATTTTGAATCTGATAATGTTTTTAATTATAAATTAAATTTATTTTTATTATGGTTTATTTATTTTTTAAAGGAATAAATTTTTCGTTTTAATCTTCGTTTTCGCAAAGATTCTGATCTAAAATTTTAGAAAAATCCTCTTTATTTTCTGAAATGATCTCATTGTCATTTTATATTATTATATTTTCAAAAGGATTTTCATCATTACAGTCAAGAAAATGAATTTCAAATTAAATTTAAAGTTTTGAATGAGCTTCTAAATTATCAAAAACTTTTTCAAGTTTTAAAGATTATTAAGGATTTTTCAAAAGGGATATTTTACCACAATTTAAAACCTCACTTTATTATTTAATTTAGTCATCTTTTTCATCTAAATACTACCAACTAGATGTATCGGAAGAACTAAATTATTAATCTTATAAATCATATTATTAATCGTTTTAAATTGATAGTTTTGTAATCAAAATAACTATAAAAAATATTTTCATATAACTGTACTTATTCATTTTTTTTTAAATATTTAATAGTAATTAATGTATTATTTATTTATATTTAGTTGGCGTATAATAAAGTATTTTTTTATTATTTTTTTTTAATTATTTTTTACTTATATATATTTATTTAATTTTTTTCTAAAATAATAAAATAACTATTTATTTATTTTCTAACACTTTTTTTTTTTATATTGCTTAATTGATATGAACTAACTTTTAATTATTTTACATTAAATTAGAAATAGATATTTTTATATATTTTACGTTTTTTTAAAATTATAATTAATAGTGAATAAACGCATATTGAATTTAAAAAAAATTAATTTAATTTTTTAAATACATAATAACAAAAAAAAAAAAAATTCAATTTAATTGAAGATTTTTAGAAGAAATATATATTATTTTTCATTAAACGAAAATATATATATTTATTTAATTTTTTTTTTTAAAGAAAAAAAGTTGTTTTATCTATTATTTTTTAATTTTAATAAATTTCTATTTATACATAAAAAATATAATTTAAGCCTCAAATATTATTTTTAATAAAATATATATTTTTTTAAAAATATTTATGAAAAATAAATATTATTTAATTATTCACTAAATAATTTATTAATAATATCTAAATATATTTTCTTGTATTCTATACTAATTACATTTAATTAAAAATATATATATATATTTATAATTATATCAGATTAAAAAAAATATTGTTAAACTTTTTTCTTAAAATTGTAAATTTCACCTTATTTAATATAATTATATAAAATTAATATTATTTTAATTTTAAATAAATAATATTTATATTATATATTATTATCTAAAGTATATTAAATTTAATAATACCTTTAAAATATTTAAAATATATTAATAAAATTAAAAATTTTCAAATTAGTTAAATATTTTAAAATATCTTATTTAAATATAAAATAATATTAGATAAATCAAAAATAAATTTGAACAATAATTCACGTTTATATGATTTTAATTTTTGAATTTTGTAAATTTTTTATAAATATTAATAACAGATTAAAAATATTATAATATTTTAAAATAAAAAATTAACAAAATAAAAGCAAATATTTATTAAAATTTTAAACACATAATAAAAAAATTAATTTTAAAAACATTAAAACAAAAACTATAATATTCAAATATTTTTCTAAATTAACTTTAATTTACTAACTTTTTCATAAGAGAAATATTTAAATTAAATAAAAAACTCTTAAATTAATCTAATATTAAATTACAACATATTAATTTAACTCTAAATATATAATAAATAAGGATAAAAAATTAAAAAATATATATAAATAAAGATATATATAAATATATATATATATTTATATAATAATTAAAACATATATTATTATTTATATATATTTTTTGTATATTAATTTATTTTTTATTTTAAAATTTATATTACATTTAAATAAGAATGAATTAAATAATAATCTTGTCTATAATTTTTAGGTTTTATAATATTAAAAGGCATTTCTACAGATTTATTAAGGAGTTCTTCCTTTTAAAACTCATTTTCTGAATCACTATTACATTCACTTATATTTTTATTTTATAGTTGATTATTTAATTAGTCTATATTTTAATTTTATATTAATTCTTTTACTTCCTAATTATTTAAATTGAATTTTTTTCAAAATTTTTATATATTTTTGTCAATTATCTTATTTTTAATAAAGCATTATAATTTGTAAACTATTCTTTTTTTCTTTTATTTTATTATTCGGGTTATATTGAACTTTAATTACAATTTTTTTTTGTTTATTATTATTTACTTTTTTCTATGATTTCTTATATTTAATTTTAAAATTTTTACTGTAAAATTTATTTTATAGCCTAAGGTTTTTCAATTTAATCTTATATTTTATTTATTTTTCTTAAATTTTCAACTTTTTTTTTTAATAAATCATTACTATATTAATTATCTTGTTAAATATTATCAAAAAACTATTAGTTTTCGCTTTATTTTTCCTTTAAAAATCTTTATTTATTAAAAATATATTCTTATTTTTATTGTTTTTGAGCACTTCTCTCACTTATAGATTCCAATAAGGTTATATTTTCCGAATTTCTCTGTCCTAAGCTTTTGATATTATTAAAATTATTTTTTGTATTTAAAATTATATTTTATTCATTTTCTTATAAATCAATTAAATTATCTTAAATTTAAATCAAATTATTATTATAATCGCTATAAATTTCATTAGTCTATTAATTATTATTATATTATCTAAAACTCTATAATTAATCCCAATACTAAGATTTCCCATAGCAACTAGATTTTCTTATTTATTTTTAATTTTTATCATCATTATTATTAAAAGTAAACTATAAAGAATTCTACTTATAATTAAGTTATCTAGATATTAAACAAGGATATTCAAAATATTATTAAAACTCATTAATTTAATCTTCCTCATCACTATATTTATCATTTAAATGTATTTTTTAAGAATTCAAGGAAATTTAATTGAGTTAATTTTACTTATAATGTTTTTAAAAAGCCTCAATTTTTTTGGTAAAATTACTGCTTTTTTAACTAATTTCACTCTAAAATGAAAAAGCACTTTTATTTTCATTTTTTTCTTTATTAGTACTTATTAAATGAATGAATTTTTCGTTTTTTCTCAAAATTTTAAATAAATGTATTTTTTTATGTTTATTCTAAGAATATCGTTCTTATATTTATTCGAATTTAAATTTTAGCTTTTCGAAAAAATATATCTTTTCAATATTAGTACTCTAGGCACTAAATTAACTATCATTTATATATTTACTAATAATTTATATATAATTCATATTCTAAAAAAAAAATTATTATCTTTTAAAACAGAAGTTTTTCATCCATTCAAAAACTTAATAATTTTAACTTAAAATATCCACAAAAACTTACCTTTTTATAAATAGACAGAATAAATAATTCTTTTTACCTGAAAAAATACTAAATCCATTATTTTCTCCTAATAAACAGCTTTCTCCGAAAAAAGACCCTTATTTTAGTTTTCTAAAAAAACATTCTTTTTATTCATTTAATTTAAATAGTGTTTTCCCTTCACAAATAAAATACACTCCTGTCGAAACTTTATTTTATTTAATAATTTTAGTCTTAGGTTCAATAATAATAGGCTTTAAATTTTAAATAATCTACTAAATAATATTTATATCGGGAATATTTCTAAAAAAATTACAATATGTTTCCACTATATTCTAAAAATAAAAACAAAAAACATCTTTTTTAATATTACATGGTAAATTTTTATAATTTTTCTAAAATTAAAAACCTTTAAAATCATAATCAATTTATTTCTTCTAATTATTTCTTAATTAACCCAATAATTTCCCCGGAAAAGGATTTTCGCAATTTTTTTCCCTTTAAAAAAGCCAAAATTCAAACTCATCTTTAATTTAATTTTTCCTCTTTTCTCCTGATTGTATGCTAATCTAAACCACCCCAATTAAAGCCACTTATATATAACCATATAACACCACACCCCCAAACATACAAATAGACGCAAATATTTTTTCTTGTTTTGTAATAAAGAAATAGTCTCCATAACCTATTGTAGTTATTGTTGTTACTGAAAAATATAGAGATGCTATATATATATATTTCATTTGATTTTCGTTCATTTATTAAGGTGATACATTTTATTCTTCTAAATATTAATATACCCATGAATCATAATTTTAAAGTCCTACTTATATCCATATACAACTCAATATATGAATACTAATTATTATTATTGATAAAACTCTTTTTTTTATTTTAATATAAATTTGTATTAAAATTAAAAAATACCTTAGTATATTAAATATTAATATTTAGTATTTTATCTCATTTTCATTAAAGATAAACTATTTTTTTTTAAAAAAAATATTTTCTTATTATTTATATATATATTTTATTTTACTTTTGATATTTTTTTTAATAAGAGTATATATCTTTTCCAATAAATTCGAATTTTCAAAATCTTGATTTATTTCAAATCTATAAAAGAGTCGGAATTATTTATTAACAAATAAAAAGGGAATAAAGCAATAATATCAATAAAAAAACCTTATCTTTTATTTTTTGTATAAATAAAAATATATTTAAATTTACTTTAAATAATTAATTCCAATAATTTTAATCTCATAAATTTATATAGAAACTATTTCAATTCCTATAAAAAACTACATTATTACATCACATAAATATAATGTATCAAAAATTAAATTTAGTATAATCTATTATATATCCATTTGCATATTAAAAGCGCATATATATGGTATATATATAGTAACATAAAACACTAAAATTCCTGTTATATAATTCCATGCTATAATTAATTTATTTTAAGGACTTATAAAATATTTGCTCTTTCTTTCTTTATTTTAAAAAATATATTTTTTTAATTCAACAAAAAGTGATTAATTTAAAAATATAATTACCAATTTATTTCTCTTAAGACTACTAAAGACCTTAAAATTATTTTTCGATTCTATTGAATATTTTCTTAACAGTTCTTTTTATTTTTATTTTTTATAAATTAAAATGAAATTTTTATAATTTTTTTTTTAAAATAAATTTTTAATACAAACTCAAAATTTTTATGCTATATATACTTCCCTTATAGTCTCCCATTTAGATTTTTTCTTTTTGAAAATTGTCTCATTTTTTTATCTTTATGAATTAGTATCTAAATTTTTTGGTGAATTATTCACTTATATTTTTTATGGATTAATATATTGATTATTATTAATCATTTAAAATATTATTTTTATTAAATAATCTTTAATTAATTTCGTAAATAATTTTTTTTACTCTTTTGTATATTTGTCTATATATTCAAGTTTTTTTTAAAAAAAAATATTAAAAATAAATATTTGTTTGGTTATATATTTTATAATTAATATGTTTATTAATATAAACATTTATTTAAAATTGAATAATTAAATTAAATACTTGAATGAATTTTTTTAAAATGAATAAACTTATTTTTATCAAAATTATTGTAATCATTTTTTTAAATTAATTAAAATTATAAAGTATAATTTTGAATATATATATAAATATAATAAAATAAATATATATATATATATATATATATATATTATATATATATATATAATTTAGTTACTTTAAAAATAATAACAAATTTTTAATATTTATGTAATATAATTACCTAAATTTTATTGTAAATTAGTGTTTGTTTATTTTATATATGAGCTAATTAATTTTAATTTTAATTTTTTTATTTTTATTTTAAATAATATGTATTCAAAAATAATATATAAATAATTAATATAAATTCTCATTATCTTATAAAATATTGATTATAATTTAAATAAATCAAAATAATTATCTATCCATTTATTAAATCTATATTTTTATAAAATTCATTTTTATTAATATATATATATATTTTTAAGTTTATGAATTTGATTATAAAAAATAATTAAATAAAATAATTTTCTTTTAAAAAAAGAAAAATTTATTTAAAAAAAAAAAAAAATAACCTTATATAACTATATTTTTATTAATTTTTGTTAACTAATATATATATATAATATTTATAAATTTTTATTATAAAACTCATTATCAGCTTTAATTTTATAACAAAGTGTCTATATTTTTAATAATGACATATTTTTACAACAACGCAATATCTTCTTTTAACAAATTTTTAAGACATTCCGCGAAATACTTAGGATCCGACTTAGACAATTCATTAAATATATTTTTCAATAAATCCTACAAAAAAAAAAAAAAAAAGACATATATAGAGACATATATATAAATAATTACAGCCGTATTATAACTAATAACAGGATCATTTAAATATAATAAATCTTCTTCTGTCGTTTCATCACATTCTTCCCCATCATCATATCCAAAAGCAAATCCATCAGTCATATAATTAGTTGATCCTATTTCGAATTCTCCTAATCCACCTCCTTTTTTATCTCCTATCTTAATTTTTTTTGTTAAAAATATTATATATATATATATATATATATATAGAATATGTATAAAAACTGCAAATCTTTTTTCAATATCAGCTTCTTCTTCATCTTAAATAACATTTAAATCAACTTCTATTTTTTCTTCATTTCCGTCTTTAAATTCCATATTTTCTCCATTATAAACATCATCATCATCGTCATTTTCGACTTATAAATTTTCTTCTTCTTTTTTATTATTTTCCTAATCTTTTCTTAAAGGAGCCATTTCATTATCTAATCCTCTTATTAAAGTACTTAAAATTTTAAAAGGAGCACTTACATCATTTCCAATATTTTAATGTGAAGGATTATAGGCTATAGCAATTAAATTTTCAATTCTTTTATCTTTTAATAAAAACAGCTTACTTAAAGCCAAAAATGTAGTATTTTTTGTATATTTTCCTCTAAATACCGGCTATTATAAAAGCCATTTATCTATCAAAGCCTTTAAACCGAGTCTATTTTCGATAGAAAAAGAACACAGGAAATTTACAGATTCTATGGGATTATTATTTATCATTCTGGCCCAAACTAGTACTAATCCTTAGACTGTAGTGGCTAATTTTGATCTAAATACTTTATAAACAATTTATCGTAAAATTTCAGGATCAGCGGATCCTCCTAATAACTATATATATGTATATTTATAAATATTATAGTTTATATGAAAATATTATTTACATTATTAAATGCTATCATACATAAATTTCCGGCATATGTAGATGCACTTTCTAATTATGAATTTTAAGAAACTTAAAGTAATTTCATTATAACTTTCATTACATCTTATATTAAACCACTATAAATAAAAATTTAATTGTATATAAATACATAATATATATATATATATATATATATATAGATATTTACTTTTTTAAAATAAATTAATCAGCAACTTTTAAAAAGTTTTTTAAGCAAATAGAAGCATGTTATTAAAGTACACTTTCTTCATTTACAGCCATTAGATTCATTAGAGGAGGAAGTAATGTTATTAAGCTTTCTTTGGCTTTATTATCGATACAATTTTTAACAAAAATACTAGTGACATCAAAAATACTCTATTTATTATAGTATAGAATGTATAAATATATATATATATATATATATATATATATATATATATATATATATATATATATATATATATATATATATATATATTTTTATATACAGCCATTAAAGTTATATCATATTATCTTATTTGCGATAAATCTGAATTAACTAAAATATGGTTTTAGAAAAGTTAAAAGCTATCTAATATAAATGGAGATATCGAGCTAAAAATTATCATAAATGATTAAGCATTTTCAGCTAATTGAGTAATTAATTCTAGTGTTATTTTACTTACAAGAACATCAGCATGTTAAAGTGTAAAAACTTAAAGAATTTTTCTAGAACCTATATTAGCTATTTCTGGTGCGTACACAGGTGAGAGTTTATTTAAATAAACGAGAGTATCTAATACAATATGGATAGTTTCTTCATTTACATTATTTAATATATCGAAAATATCATATAAAATATTAGCATTTCCAACTCCATATTAAAGTAATTAATTCTTATCAATAACAAGTTATTATTTATAAGTATTTATTTTATGTGCAAACCTATTTAAATATTTATAAAAAAATTAATAAATAATAAATATATATATATATTTAAATATATCTGAAATTT